CGGGAGCCGTCAGACGGAGCCAGGAGCACAGCCGCAGCTATTGGCGTTTTCCTGGCAAGGCTGCCAGAGCACAGGCCCCCAGCTCCCAGCAGGCTTGCTGCCCCGACGCAGCCTGCCCTGTGGGTCACATCAGCATCCCCCTGCCTGGGAGCAGGACTGTGTTGACCCCCAGGGACTCGGGGGACACCAACCTGATCCCTGCACCCAGCCCAGCGCCCCCCCCCACCAGGGGCGACCCCCACCCGCTCTGCCACGCCCCTGGTGTATCAGCACCAGCCCTTACCCAGGGCAGCTTGTCTTTGCACTTTCCCGGGGTACCGATGGCACTGGGATTCCCGAGCATCTTCCTGTACATCTCCGTCTCCACGTTCTTCTGGTCCGCATGTTTCTTCACCAGCTTGGAGAGCTCAGCGTGGATGGTCTGGGGAGGAGAGCGCAGCGCTGCGGTTATCGGCTCTGCACTGTCCCTGTGGGACCAAAGTGCCACCACCAGCAGGTCTGATCACCCTGGGGCTGTGCAAGAGCTTTGTGGAACAGCTCATAAGCAGCCTGGAGGGCTGATGGTCTGATCCTGCCTTGCTCCCCCACCCTGAGGGGCTGCACCAGGCTGGCATCAGACACCCAGGCTGGGTGCTGCGCGCATCCCAGTGCCCCTCTGTCCTTTCTGGCCACCCAAGCCATTCCCCATCTGGCAATGGGCAGCAGAGCCCAGGGCTGATGACAGACATTGGGAAAAGGATTTTATCCTTTAATCGAGATAGAAAAGTGTCTGCCTCGAGGACAGATGTGCCCAAGCTCTCCCACTTTTCTGTCTGGAAGAAGGCTGGGAAAGCAGGCTTAAACTCAGTCTGGTCTAAAGCGGGATTGCAGCAAGACTCAGGAGCGTGTCGGTACCTGCCTGGCTGCGCTGAGCGGCAGCAATGGCTGGGGCTGGAGGGAGAGCTGCAGAAGCAAGCTCTGCATCCTGTGCGGAGCTCACAGGCTCCCAAAAAGTAACAAGAAGCGCCGGCAAGCTGAGGTTACTCGAGCCCGCGGTGGCAGGAAGGATGTCGCGGTGGCGCAGCCATCCGGCACCGCAGCCGTGCTGTGCCCTCTGCTGGGGACACCGCAGTCCGGGCGGCTCCGATGCCTCCCTGAAACCCCAGCACCGCCACCGGCGACCCGCACCGGCTCCAGTCCATGTTGGCTGGCCCAGAGACTGGCCAGGGCTTCACCAAACCACGCCACCCTTGGCACCGCTGCCTTGAACGTGAGACTTTGGATGTCTGAAGGATGCAAAGCAGCAGAGCACCTGAGGGGACCCCTGAGCTCACCACGGCTGGCACGTCAATGGAGGACAAACATTGCCATCCCCCACTGCTCCCAGAACGTGCGTTTCTAAGGGGTCAGGAGAAGGGAGCCCAGCGGCTGAGGGTCTGTATCAGCTGAAAGGTGCCAACGGCCCCAGAGAACCAGGTTTCCTCATCCGAGGCAGGTGGAGCCAAGCATTTCTCAAATATGTTTTCACCACCAGTAGCCATAGCCCGTGACTCACCGACGCGTGTTTAACGCGGCTGTCTGGATCGGCACTGCCACTTCGCCGGGAGTCCCGGCAGCTAGCTAGAGAGGCCAGTAATTTGCTGTACTTGTGGTTTCACTGGTAACGTCACTGCCGGGCATTTTGATTTTTTTACCCCCTCTCCAATTAAAAGCTTCATCCAAACAGGCTGGTGAGCAGCAGCCTCGCCAACAGTGATGTTCCAGAGCTGCTCCCGGAGCTGCCTGCATCGTTGCCCACCCTAACCTTGCCAGGAAGTGAAGGGTTTGAGATCCTTCTCGCCCTTCCCCATGGGTGCTCTCAGACCGCCAGTTCCGCGGGTGCTGCGGAACCGCCAAGTGCCTGCTTACAGTGCCCCATCCTACCCGTGACCTTCAGGCATGGGATCACAACGCAAATCACGATGGTCTGGTGAAATTCCCAGAAAAGAGGTGGATAAAACAAACAGACCCAGTCGAGGACTAAAGCCCACCTGTAGCACCAAGCCCCTCACACCTCGGCCCCACACAGGCAGTGCCTCCCTGCCTCTCTCCCAGCTTGCCCAGAGTCGCTCCTGTAGGGCCATTTCCTGGCACTGGCTTTTGATTTCTCCTGAGGCTCCGGTCCTGCAGCTGATCATTAACCAACAGGAAATTCCTGACCCAGAGCTCACGCTGGCCCGAGCATTGGACCGAGGTCTGGGCTTTCTGGGGCCGCTCCTGCCACCCAGTGAATCACACTTCGGGCTGCTGAGCGAGTCTGCAGGGACTCGGCTCTGCTCCACTTCTCACAGCCATGACCACTGGGGCCACGAGGGGAAGCCGGAGCAGCCGGGACTGTACACGCAGGATCGCTGAAGCAGGGATGGGTTGGCAGGGAGCCCTGCCACTGCAAGGACCAAAGGGCAAAGAGGGAGTCTCGCAACACGGAGATAAGGGACCCACCAGCCCAAACAAGCTCAGGTGTTGCACCATGGGGCACATCACCCCATGGCTGCCCAGGTCCTGGGGGCTATTTCCAGCCTCCCTTCACAGATGGAGCTAGGAACAGCTATGGGGGGCTTCAGCCCTCTGCAGGGGACACCGAGGTTTGCAGGGACATGGCCAAAAGGATAGCCCAGCCCAGGAGGATCACCAGCAGCACGCTACAGCAGCCTACCTTGTTTGAAGGCTCCAGCTTCAACGCCGCTTTTAAGATGGGGATGGCCTCTCTGTATTCACCCTGCTGAGCCAGGACCTGGAATGGAAGATACGGATTGAGCAGGACGGCTGAGGTCTGCCCTCATCCCTGCCCTCCATCTGCCATGGCCAGGCCCGGCCATGACGCAGAGAAGGGACAGCGGCGCCTGCCACGCGCCCGGCCTCACCTTGCCCTTTCGGAACAGAGCCTTGATGTTCCCTGGCTGGTGCTCCAGGACAAGGTTACAGGACTTCAGGGCTGCTTCGTAATGGTCCAATTTAAGCTGAGAAGCTGCCAGATTGTTGAGACATTTCACCTTCACGTCCAGCAACTCAGCCTCCTCGTTCGGGCTGAAGTCAACTGCAAAGACCCCAGAGCCGGGTTACAGGGGGAAGGGAGCCCAGGCAGCCCTCACCCGGGGCAGGAGCAGGTACCTTTTGAGCTGGAGCCGATGACCTTGAGGGCAATGTCGTAGGAGTTGATGGCCAGTACATAATCTGCCTGCTGGTAGAAGAAGTTGCCACGCTCCCGCTTGCGGTTGGCCAGCTCTATCTTCTCCTTCCCACTGAGCAGCTCCAGGTCCGGTGCATCCTGAGCTGCCAGCAGCTCCACCTCCAGGGTGAGAGCCGCGTCGGGTGGGATGTCAGGGCTCCTGTGCAAATAGGGGCACAAAGCTGTGGCACCATTGCCACCTCTGTCAGTTCCATCAGCCACTGGGCCACATAGATTTAGCACTGCGGCCCAGAAGTCAGAGCAACGGAAGCTACCCGGGACAGGGCGCAATGCAGACCGTTCTCCCCAGGCAGTACACACTGCCATCCACTGCACATGGCAAGTGAGCCAGGCCTCCCTGCCCACAGTTGCTTGTTGGCTAGGCTGTCAGCGGGAGCGCAGGGGACAGCTTTCACAGCCCTCTTTCAAGCCATCCTGCTCCCTCTCTGCTCACCTGCCCTGAGAGCCGTAGCAGTACTTTGCATCTGACACGATCAAAGCTGTCTCCCCCATTTCCAAGAGCTGCACACACAAGTCCAGAGCCTACAGGGAACAACATTGTGGAGAGGGAGCATAAGCAAGGGCAGAGGGACTGCTTCTGACCCACAAACAGGGATGGCGCTGACCCCAAACCCTACCCGTAGCCCCCAAGGCGAGGTCCTGCCCCGCAGAGCAAAAGCAAGGCAGTGATAAAGCCAGGCGAGCTTTCTCCCAGCCCTGACCTGCAAGACGTCACAGTCCCCCAGTGTGAAGGTGAGGGCAGGGTTCTCCTCCACCACGCTGCCATCCTCCAGTGTGGCCTTCAGGCGGACAGTCACGTCCTGGCCCTTGCGGGGACGGGTGTCCACCCCCTGGCCTGGCACCAGCGTCTTCTTCTTGAGCAAGCCACTCCCTAGGCAAGGATAAGCCGGAGGAGCATCAGCCCATGGCCAGGAGGGAAAAGCCTCGCTCCCAATGCCCCTCGCTGACTCCTGGCTGGCCTTCATGGCGCAGGGAGCACCAGCAGAGCTGCAGGGAAGCCCAAGTAGCCCCACAAGCCAAGTGTCCTCCTGCCCAGGCTCTTACCCAAAACGTCGAGCCACTCCTGGGGGTCATCAGCTGCTTCCCCCCCACCCTGCTCCAAGGGCTGGGCATCCTCCCGCGGCAGGGCCGGCGGCCTGCCCACGTCCTCCAGTGGGGGCAGCTCACTCAGGTCCTCCTCCTCCTCCTCCTCCTC